CAAAAAATACAAGTGCGTGCAAAAAATACAAGTGCAATTAAATTCCCCAAATGCTCCGAAAGCATACGTGTTCAGAAGCCCCAAAGGACCTCGCTTTCCCAGAACTAAACAATGATCATTACCGGCTTCCTGCAAAATATGTCCTATTACTCCCTGTTACAAAGGGAGGGATCAGGTTATTTTTGATCAGATCACTATAACTTTCTGATTATGCTCCAACCTGTGATTGTCCAGGGAAGCTTACTTGCTGGTCAGATATTCAAGATGGAGTCTATCAGGTTCCTCAAATAACCTCATCTAATTTACCCAAATAATTCAGGGCCCTAGCCTTGTTCTCTCATACTGCCCTGGGATAGAAGCTGTTTTTCAGCCTATTTGTCCTCGTTGTCCTGCCTTCCAAGCAGTCAAACACAAATAATTATCAATGTTGAGAACCTTGGCTTGAATAAACTTTTCATTTCATTTCCTCCAGTGCTACTACCCCTTATTTTACTTATCCCCCACATTTTTCAACTGATTCCTCATTTACCTTCCCACAAATTACTCATTATCATGCAATTTCTCTACAGCTGTAGTATTCAAATTGTCATCTCAGAACTAACATGGCCTTCACATCCTTTTTTTTTTGCAATTTCAATAACACTTTCTGAGTATTAAAATTAATTTTAGAAGTTTCCTGTTATTCTGAAATAGGAAATACATATAAGCAGAAAAATAGCACTTACTACACTACTGTCCAGTTACCAGCTCCTTTGCACTGAATGAATGAGCAAACCTATTTATGCTCACTCCTCTTTTCCATATTGTCTATATTATTTTGGCGGATATGTCTGACTGCACCCAGCAACCTCCTCTACACAAATTTATTGTGTTGTCCCACATGCAGGTTCTGCGCTAGAACCAAACTTCATTCAGAAAACCTCTATAATTTGGGCAGGAACCCTATTTGCACACTCAAAGAGAATACTACTACTTTTTTTTCTAGACTAGAAAGAAAACTTGTATCAGATAATTTGGACATTAATGCATTTATTAGCCCTAAATAAATGATTCTTATGCAATCTCTAATCATAAGAAAATATATGAAATGGAAGCATAAGAATATAAATCATGTTACAATGAAAATTTCTTCGGAATGAATATGTGATGTATTTCTCGTAGCTTTGTTTACAGGGGAGAATATCTAGGTAATAATTTGCATTTATATAACTCCTATATTTCCTGAAATTTCTATATGAGAAATTAAGAGAAAAACAAGTTATAGTAGAAAATAATCTTTGATTGATAGCAAGAGAAGCAGTCTATTAGCAATATCCATGTTTAGCAACAAAATGAAAATGAAAAGTTTGCTGAGATGACTCTTCTGATTAGACTTTTCTAAAAGTAATGTCATGCCAACTTATNTGGTTTTAACATTATCTTGCAACTGTCTTCTAGGTAAAAACTCAGATTGATCCTCATGAATAAAATCTTGCAAAATCATTTTCAATCTTCAACTTAAATCATCGTAAAAAAAAACGATCTTGTCCCTTTTTAGGTTTAACTGTTATATTAGCTCTTTCCAAGTGTCTGGCATCTTTCCCCTCTTTCCACCCTTTCCTTCCTGTAGAATATAAACCATTTGTAAATGTTGTAAAAATTCATCCTCAAAGTACTTATAACACAAACTTGATAGATCATCTGATCCAAGCAGCTTTCCAGGTTTACTCTTTTTGATTGCTTTTGAAAAATTAATTAGCATTATAGGTCCATTCATCATTTGCCTTTGTTCTTCTGTAATCCAGGGTAATTGTTATTTTCAAAGATATTCATATATTTTCTCCATTGGACTATGTCCCGAATAAAAACTAGAATAATATTATTATATAATATCTGTATAAATACAAATATTTATAATAATATTATTATCAAAATATTTGAATGGAAACCTTATCTGTTAATATGGTATTTCTCTCTCTGTAGTACCTATTTCGGTATCATCTTTTTCCAATACCCATTGCATCTGTTATGACTGCAGTGAAATTCTTTCTATGATTTCTATTTCTGTTTCCTCCAATTCTTCTTTATATCTTTCTAAAAACATCCCTTGCCTTTTGAATAGTCAAATCTGATTCTTTGCTCTTTGAAAGTAAAAATTACAATTTATCCCATTGTGAGTTTTTTTTTCTGTTTTAATTTAACCAAAAGGGAATATTATTTCTTCTTATACAAAATTCAGTTGGGAAGCTCTTTCCCATAATTGTTGGGAAACAATTATATCAGTATTATACCATTTTCAATATTGTATTCAAAAATAAGGTGGTCATAAAAGAATTTGAAGAATTCAAATGAAAGAGAGGCTATTGTTAGAAAGGAATATGAGGTTTCTGTTGTTAGGATTTTCTCAATATCTCAAAAGTGCTTTTTCAAAAGGCAACTGGACTTTGTTTTTCCTTGAAGATTTTTTCACTTCTCATCCAAGGTTTTCTCAATAGTGCTATTTCTTCCATAATAGGAAGAACTTTGTTAATCTTGACCGAAGATCTATGCAAAGAAAGGCCTTTGATCACACTTAGTTTTGACAATGGATAATAAATGAGTCATTATTCTGCTTTGGTGGCTGATGCTAGTTCAAATATATCCAGTTTGTTCTGGATATGGCTTTTAGTTCAAAATCTTAATTTCTTTCTTTGTTAGATTTTTTTAAAGACATCCTTTGTAAATGACCAGGATATAGATCTTTCAAAAATAAAGCACTTATGCATTTACAATCTTGCAAAGGACACAATTTAAGCAGCAGTAAAATGGAATTTTTCAATAAAGACACAGTGTCTTCCTCACTGAAAATATTGTATAATATGAAAAATAACAGGCATAATGCCAGCCACCTCCCAGTATAGACTTATAAATAATTGATGCATCAGTGAGGGTGTTCAGGAATAGATCAAGGAGTGCTTAGCAACCAAAAGAATAGTTTAAATTTGGTGTCTTCAAAGTGTTTCCAACTTTTCTTCAAGGTATTTCTGGAAAGAATGCTATCTTTAAATAGCACAGACATCACATATTTGTTGCAGGAGTTATTTCATATCAAGTATATGTAATATCCTGTTCAATGTTCTTCATTATTCCTAAGAATAGAGATTGGAGATCAGTAGTGAATTTGGCGGTGGGGGTGGGGAATCAATTTATCAGATAAAGATAGTTTAGGATTAAGGACTCCATGTCTTCCTGGTAGCCTACAGACCAAAGATTTCCTTACTTTTGACAGTCCTCCAGATGAATTCCCATGCCAATCTAACTGCTTTATTATCATTTTTTTGCATATTAGATGCAATTCAAAGCTTTCTCCCTTGAGTTCTTTTCTCCACGCTTAAATTATTCACCAGCGTTTGAGTAATGTTCATAAATAATGAATTTGGGTAAATATTGGAAAGAGTAATCTCCATCTAACACCAGAAAGCACTCAATATGCAATATGTTGAACAACAAGAGGAAGTCAGATCCAATTCTAGAAAAAGCCTAGAATTTAAACATGGAGTATTCACATATATTGATACTCTATATCAGTATTTTGCAGTAATCCTGATGTCTGTGCATATATTATTTATTGTTTGTCTGCAAGCAATCAACAGAGGCAAGCTGCTCAGAGTCACTCACTTCATGAACTGCATAAAAGGCGTACATTTAACAAATACTAATAATAATTTACTGATTTTGTAAATTCTGTTTTAGTAACTTCCAGGTAATGGGATTAAATGCCTGGGATGCAAGGTTTTATTGCTATACTTGTTGTGAGTCTGACATGCCTTCACCTTCCCCCCTCCCTTCCATAATGTATTGAGGATATCCTCTCTCTAATGAAGCTGAGCAGACGTTACCCTTATGATACTTATCTGCACTTTATTTAGGGAACTTTTTCAAATGCTGCTCGTCAGTTCATTAATAGACTGGGAGATTGCTTTCTATTTAAGTACATATAAATGGTGGCCATGTTACCCTGGGAAGCTGTAACAATTGTAAATTCCTGTCACCTGCTAAACGCCTGAACTTTGATGACATGGTTACAAGAACATTGGTTGTTATAATCATGGTCATAACTCTGAAGATCAGTTATAAATCATTATTTTCACACTGTTTTAACACTATGGTCGATACCGGTATGATATCATTGCTCGACCATATTTTATAGCGTCTTCTTTACCAGGTTGCTAAATAGGTGTTAGAATAATTAATGGGGGGGAGATTCATTCGTTGCTGATAATTAATTAAACAACTTCAGCTCCTCCTGATATGATCTCAGCAAATGCTTATTATATACCTATTTTAAACTCCTTTCAGCTTCTGAATCTTGAAATATGGAAGAAACAATTAACATGGAACGGGGCTGTAGGGGTATAATTTTTTTTTTTTACTTTTTGAATAATGTATGACTACCTGAAATATCTTGCTGCTTCTAAACTTCATGATAATAACACTCTGCTATTCATAGTGACATTATACTGTTATTATGTATGAAGAGGAACTTACTTTTTTTCCCTTTTTGTTTCTAGCATTGCATCGAATTGGGTGTTGGTAATAAAGAAGAACACGCAGTGCTTCTGTGTAATTATCTTCTGTACATTGGGAAAAAAGCCTGGGTATTATTAGGAACATCTGTGTTAGAAGTAAGATCAAAATAACTTTGGAATTAGCAAAATAATTAAAACTATGCTTCTCAGATATTCTAAACTACACAATGAGTGAAATTGTAAAGCAGATTATGTGAAGAAAAGCATTAGCCCATATATTAAATCAAGCAACTTAAGTCATGGGTGCTTTTAAAAATGCTTTGATGAGTTTCTTTTCAAACTGAATTGGTCTTGATGTCACAGTATTCATTAGTATTCACTAGTGTATGTGAATATGCAGTGCTTCTTGCTCAGCGATAGTGCACAAAGCCAAAACGGAAATTAATTAATTAATTAACTTCCACAATGGAAGAATGATTAGAGAAACTGATGGAACTTGTGGAGATCACCAAATTAAACACTTTAATCAAAGAGAAGAATACATCTGACTTTGTTTCCATCTGGAAACCACTTAAGGATTTTATGCTTGAGGTGCAGGAAAATGAAATTTTGACTTTGGGATTTACTCTTACTTTATTCATGTCAGAAGTATCTTCAAATTATAGATATAGTGCTGCACGATGGGGTGAGCCTCCGTGACTTGCCCCAGCTCCTGCCTACCTAGCAGTTCGAAAGCAGGCAAATGCAAATGGATTAATAGGTAACACTAGTGGGAAGGTAACAGTGTTCTGTATGCCTCGGCATTTAGTCATGTTGGCCATATATCCATGAAATGCCATCAGACAATACTCTCTCCATCAGCTAAGAAATGGAAATGAGGGCCGCCTCTTAGAGTTGGACATGGCTGTACAGGGGAACTTCTACCTTTCTTTAACATTCGACACTACGCAAGTAAAATGGGTGTAAAATAACTCAAAGAAATATAGCACCTGTAAAAAGTATGTAGAATGAATAGAATTAAAATTAAATGACAGTCTCGCAGTATTGGGCCATGTCAACATCATTTTCTGTCACTAGCATGATTGGGATTTACTCATCAGACAAATTTTCTTTGTTATAGAAATGGCTAGTAATATATACTGAGTAGGCAAAGTAAAAAGTTGAGACTATAATGATATTATGTTCATAATTATTGATATTATGAGACTATAACGATATTACTGTGCTGAAAAGTTAACTTTTTTTCTTTTTATCTATTTATCCTACACCTCTTTATTGCCCCTTTTCGCCCTTCCCATTTCCCCACTATTATCATTTGTATTTTATATTCTAATATGTAATAATATCACACTATAATAAAAAGAAATAGTGCACAGAAATGTTGTACTGGAAACAGTTGCATAGAAAAAAAGAATACATTTGGGAAGTTGAATAGCAATTACATATTTGCTGCAGTTTTAAAAAATAATTTCTCCAAAATAGTTGATGGAACAATTAATTGCATGCGTATTGTACCAACACAATTTCAATTTACACTGATTTGCATGTTCAGTTGATTCTTTTTATTTAATTTCAGATTTAAGACAACTCCATCATAAATATTAAGGATTTATTTCAGAACAAATTATTTCTTATACTTCCTATTTCAATAGAAAAGAGAAATAATTACATACAATAATCTTGAACTAGAATGGCTAAAGATGGGAAACCGGAAATGAAACTGCACTATGATAGTTTGTTGTGTGTTGAAATTAATATTTGGAGAGCTATGGGTGTTCCTATTTCTGCCTTACATATGTCAGTGTTCTCATTCTAAAACTTAAATCAGATATTTATATTAATGTACATAAGGATGGTTTTTTCCCCAAAACTATGCTACATGAATGATTCATTAATTAGAAAATATAATTAAGTATAAAATTATTTATTTTGTATTTGGAATGAACAAACATTTTGCTAACAGGGGAAAGTAGCTTATGTTGCAACACAAGAAAATGGAGAATATTTTCTGTGGAATCCCCTGAGCGGCCACTGCTATAAGCAGTTTGATGCATTTTGCCCCCTACAGAGTGTTGATTGCTTAATCAGCTGGGAAAATGTAAGTATTTATAACAAAATGGGTTGATAATGTATATACAATCCTAATTTATCCAAGTAGTTGGGCATTCCATGATTATAGTATTATAATTAATGTGATGCGGGGGAGAGATGAGTTATACTGAACATTTCTGATATCTCTGTAATTTTAAAAAATGTAAGCAAACAGACTGCTATCCCATTGTTTTTAATTAAAAATTTCTTGGACAGCTCTCTTCATTCAACCTCCAAACACATTTAGTTGTTTCTATGCTCTCTTGCTTTAGCTGGAAGAGTTTCATTTATCTAAGCTTGTAGCAAGTGTGAAGATTTGTAGCTGAAGTAATTGTTTTTTTGGTTGTCACAAAAAATAATTAAATTTAGAAAAAGATAAAAGTTAAAAGCTTTCTGTATTTTGCAATCTTAAAAGCTTTGTTATCGCTCTATGATGAAATGTATATATAAAGTACAACATGGAATGAACAGTACATATAATGAAAATCTGAGAATCAGAAAACCATTTTTCCATCACATCATTGGCTAGAGATCCAGCCTTCTATTGTTAGAAGTCAAACTTGGTTACATTGAACAAATATTATAAAGTAAATTCTTCTAAAACATGACAAACGTGTACATTTTCTTTTAGAAGGTCCCAATTAGAAGTGAACTAAGAAATTTCCCCAGCACTGTTCCCTAATGCCAAACCTCCTGAACTGATATTACTACAAACAAAAATTTCTGAAACAAATTTTACATGAGGAAATGGGGAGGAAAGGATTGATCACTTCGTTGTATGTCATCGAAAATTATAGTTACTTTTGTTCAGAAGGAAGAGATTGAACAAGAAGCACACATTTTAATTATCTATTTTATATGACATTTGTTTTAATGTCTTAGCATAAGAAACTCATAGAGGACTCAAAAATAAACAATACTTGTGTACATGGGAAGAATTAGTAATATTCTTGAGCAAATAAAAACTATTTTTGAATATAGCTAAAATTTGAACATTAGTATTCTTTTTAAAAAAACAAGTAAGTGTCTCTTTCTGAATATGATGCCGTTAAACTGAAATATTTTTTTCCTATTTTATTTCTACATATTTTGCTGATATTAGTAGAATGTATATGTTTAAATTATACATTACAACTACATTTATGTGCAAGGAAAACGATTGAATGATATAACACCAAGTGGTTTGTACCTTGTGAAGGAATAAATTTACTATATAAGTGAAACACAGTATAATGAATATAAATTAATATAGGAGGAATAAGACATTTATATTTTAGACCTCTGATAAAGATTCAACTCAAATTACAACTTTCTTGGTAATTTCTTACAAATTAAAAATGTGGCAAATAAAAAATGTTCTATTATTTTAAAATAATGATTTAACATATTAAACTTATGTTTTTAGATAGAGTTAGTTTTATAAAAATATAAAATATATAAATATATTTTGTAAGTCATTTTTAAAATAACATTTTATAGGTCTGGTTTAACATTCAACAAAACAATTCACCAATGTGCACCAGTTTTGACATTTCAAAAGAAAGCTTTTGGAAACAATTACTTCCATACAATTTCCAGAATTCAAAAACACAAACTGTGCAGGTAAGAAACATTTTAGTATCTACAAATTATAATTTGCAATTGAATTTTTACATTTGAGTTAGGTATGGGGGAATACTTTCCTTAAAAAAAGGATGTCTGTGGAAAGAGATAGATATAAGGAATGTAGACTAAGAAATTAGCCACTCCAATTCAGGGTAAGATCAGATAAATTTGTTTACCATTTAATGAAATATTCCATCTTTATCTATCCTAACATACTGCTACTTATATGCATACCAGTGGTGGGATCCTGTTCCAACCGGTACGGTTGGAAAGGGGCCTGACAGCGTCCACATGGACGCGCGCAGTGCATGCATGCATCTTAGTGCCCCGCAATGCTCCAGCTGCTCCACGGAGCATTGTGCAGGTGCTGTGTATGCCATGCACGTGCGCGGAAGCACAGAAGCCTTAAAAGACAGGTAAGGAGCTTGGGCTGGTGGGTGGGCCCTCCGGAGCACCATACCGGAACGGTATCTGGTGCTCCAGGCAAGCTCCAGTACACCCATACCAGGTCATACCGCCTGCAACCCACCACTGATACATACATAGCATCATACTGCTGCTTCTAGAAATGCAAATGGCAGGTATNTCTGCATATAGTGAAACATGATCCAAAACAATGATTTCTTATTTATTACCTGAATGTTTTGAGGGGTTTGCTGTATAAAGAAAACAGGAAAACAGGAAAATTTCACTTTAACAGATTATTCAGGGAACAGTATGTCCATTATATTTGATATTTGTATTATTGGCATCAGTTTATCATTTTTCACGTTATGTAATTCCGCTATATCCTTAAACTGAGAGTCAATTAAAACAGTAGATCATTGATTCAAGATTATCTTTATTAAACTGAAATTTGATTGCAAATAATGCCATTTAGTCAATTTTATAATTATGCAAATTATGGAAATTCACACAAATGATAGACTCGAAATTAACAGATATGAATAGTCCATTAAATGTTTATGTATGAGACTTAATATTTTCTAAATCTAGAAGTGATTTCAGAGTTTCAAATGGAAACATATGTAAGCGATTGTACAGAAGATTTAGAGTTTGCACAGCACAGTATATAGTTTAAATAGTATTACTGTTTAATCGTGAATATTTTAACAATATTTTTGATTTGTATATGTTTAAAGTAGAAAAAATAGAACTTTTTTGGGTCTCATTTCAAATATTTGTTTTTTGTTTCAGCTCTCCAGCACATGATTATACCTTTTTAGGTCTATCTAAAATAAAAGACAACATAAATATTAGCATTTTTGATGAATTTGTGATTGAAAAGCATGAGGTAAATTGTGTATTTGAAAAAAGAATAAACTTTTAAATAAGGAATCATACTGATTTGTAAATAAGTGTAAGAAATCAGAATCAATAGGTTTTTTTATTTTGATTAACAAATTGAAAGGTATCATTAAGTCCAGAATATAATTGTAATATTTCTTATTATATTGTTTAAGAAAAGAGGATGTTATGCATAAACACTGTTCAGAATGCTCCACTTCATTATGTTCTTGATGTATTTCTTCCACTTCGATTAGTTAACCAACTAACTATTAATGGAGCATACTGACTTGGCCAATATGATTCACTCTTGTCACTTCCAGTTAGATTATTTTAATATTATATATGGGACTACTTTTGAAAACAATTCGAAAGTTGCAATTGGGGATACTGTATTTTTAAAATGCACGTATGCTATCTTGCATTCTCTCTCTTGCACATAGATACATGCATTAATCTAAATACAAAATATTAATCCAAGTTATATATTTAATTAGGATGCCTGCCCAAATAGTTGCAGTGGTCATTCTTACATAAGAAAAAACTGGCTTGGATCAATTGTGTTTCCTTTCTCTGCTCTGCTTGAACAATCTAAGGTAATGAAAAACAAGAAACATGGTTTTAAACATGTCAGTATAATCCCTGTAACGCAGCCATCCCATCAGATGTTTACTATGACTTTATTATATGTATTTTTAAAATGTATGTGTTCTCAGATCTGTGGAACATTTCAGATAGATATGCCACCTGTTGTACTTGGATATACTTGGAGTAAGACATATGTACCGCCTAAAGAAGAATGTTTTGGGCAGAACCTGAAAGAATATAGCTTTTTAACCATCTTTGCCACTATTGAACCTCAGTTATCCTCCGCTGAAAATAATTTAGATCTGGATACGGTAGGCATTTGTAATTATCTCGTTTGATATATAAGATATTTTCAAAATATTTTTTCCAATTATAAATACTCCTCAACTTATGACCATAATTAAACCCCAAATTATGGTCATAAGGCATTTTGGTTGTATGTTGAAGCATACGTGACAGGGCCTGATTTTTTTTACATTTTTATGGCAGTCATTTAGCAAACACTGGTTGTTAAGCAAATTTATTTTACCCAATGGGCATTTTTTTGGCTGGAAACTGGTGGTTAATGCCAGAAAACTGACGAAAAATATTGAGATGCTGCAAACGGCTGTAAAGTGAGCCACGCCAAGCACACAAAATTTAACCATGTGACCATGAGGGTGTGTATGGCCGTTGTAACTTTGAAATGAAGGAAGGTTCATCATAACTTCATATGGTTAAGTGGTTGTAAGTTGAGACTTAATTCTGAATATGTCTTTAGTTTGCAGATCATGAAGCAGAAACACCATTGCAAAGAGCATATATTTTTAAGCAAACATGGAAAGCAGTGTTTCCAAAGAGAAGAATAATGACCTCAGTTTTTAACAATCAGGGAAGGAATATTTTAGTAACTAAGTACATTAGCCCTTTGAATCCACCACAATTATTGCTAGATATGTATCCAAAAGATCCCAATTCAACTTCTGTGAGTATGATTTATTATTAAATAAAAACTTTCTGATTTAATTAAATATGGCTTTGAGGCATTTCAAATTATCATTTCTCTCTAAATTTTTCTGGTATTCCAATTAGAACTTTTTCTTTACATTTCTTAATAAATATAAAAAGTATAATACAATGAATAAATAATTAATGGATACTGTAATTCCAAATAAAACAAATCAGACAGATTTACTGATTTGATTTCCTGCTGACTGGATTTCACCTTATTTATTTTCTAGGACCTTATATCACGATTCGTATCTTTAATTCCTTGTATAGCAGATACAGTGGATGAAAATAATGATGTTGATGTGTGGATGACATCAGAGGTAATGCCAAATTTCATAGTAATACTGCTCTGCTGACTTTTTAAAAATGGTTTTATTTTTATGTAATTTGCAATGATAGCCTCTGAAGTATTTATATGGAGGTGAGATATAAATGTGTTGTTCTTATACTTTTTTCACTTAGGACCTCTTCACACTTTTAAAAATTATGGAGGACCCCAAAAGACTTTTTGTTTATATATACTATATTTATGAATATTTACCATATTAAAAATTAAAACATTAATTTGCTGCCACTATGTCTCATAATTGTTTAATGAGATTTTAATAATATGTTATTTTTCATATAGACTGGCAAATAATTTTTGATTTTGTTGCTGTTTTGTTAATTGTAATATTGTCTGTTCTATTCTGAATTTAACTCTAAGTTATAGAGTTGAATTATCAAAAAATCAGTTTGATCCAAGAGTGGACCTAGGAAAAGAAAGAAAAAAGACTGATGTGGTACTTGTGATCTGGTGAAAGATTTAAATGTCATGCTGCTTTATCAGTTTACAAAAAACAGTTAACTTGAATGATAAAATGCCAGGAATGTGTTTTTCTGCAGAGGGGAAGATATTCTTAGAAATTGTTCTCACTTACTCTGATATGCAATAATACAAAAAGAAGTAGAATCTCACACCCTAATAAAGACCACTCTGTTTCCAGATTTGTTTCTGTCTTACTCTGAGATAGGATATATCACCCATAGCTCACTAGCTTTTCTTCTCATGTTTCATACAGTTACCACTTACCTCTATCTTGTTAGCATGCTTTTTATCCTTAAAACCATTCTTCTCTTTTGATGCAGAACAAGTTCTTTAAAGCTTTGTGTGCACTGTATCTAGTGCTGAGGAGCAAGAAAGCCCAGAAGGTTCTCAGATGAGGAAGAATCCATCCAAACCCAGAAGACTGGGAAAAAAATAATTGGCTATGGAACCAAGTCCTCCCAATGTCAGGGCATTTTCCCCATCTGACATCAAAATATTATTTCTTTCTTTTCTCTGCTGCTAAGTCTTAATAGCAGAGAGCCGACATCCCTCCCCAGAGAGGGTAGAAGTTTCTGGAAATATAGCAAAGATAATCATCTGGACTTCACACATCATTATAGGGAGCATCTTCTACGCCAAACCTTATTAGATTAGAAAAATTATAATTAAAAACAAGGCTTAAAATTACTTCCTCATAGATTACAAAATACCGGTACTATATTTCTAGCAATTGCTTTGTCATTCTCTGAATAGTTTTCTTCCCAGCACAAAATTCTTATCAAGTATTCATTTTAGAAAAGAGATGGAATTTTAATCAATTGCTTGAAGTAATTCTTCCATCCATCTATTCCTGTTTTTTTCTTGTTTTTCAGTAAGTACTTTCAAATATTTCAAAATGTCCAACCTGGTTTTAACATTATCTTGCAACTGTCTTCTAGGTAAAAACTCAGATTGATCCTCATGAATAAAATCTTGCAAAATCATTTTCAATCTTCAACTTAAATCATCGTAAAAAAAAACGATCTTGTCCCTTTTTAGGTTTAACTGTTATATTAGCTCTTTCCAAGTGTCTGGCATCTTTCCCCTCTTTCCACCCTTTCCTTCCTGTAGAATATAAACCATTTGTAAATGTTGTAAAAATTCATCCTCAAAGTACTTATAACACAAACTTGATAGATCATCTGATCCAAGCAGCTTTCCAGGTTTACTCTTTTTGATTGCTTTTGAAAAATTAATTAGCATTATAGGTCCATTCATCATTTGCCTTTGTTCTTCTGTAATCCAGGGTAATTGTTATTTTCAAAGATATTCATATATTTTCTCCATTGGACTATGTCCCGAATAAAAACTAGAATAATATTATTATATAATATCTGTATAAATACAAATATTTATAATAATATTATTATCAAAATATTTGAATGGAAACCTTATCTGTTAATATGGTATTTCTCTCTCTGTAGTACCTATTTCGGTATCATCTTTTTCCAATACCCATTGCATCTGTTATGACTGCAGTGAAATTCTTTCTATGATTTCTATTTCTGTTTCCTCCAATTCTTCTTTATATCTTTCTAAAAACATCCCTTGCCTTTTGAATAGTCAAATCTGATTCTTTGCTCTTTGAAAGTAAAAATTACAATTTATCCCATTGTGAGTTTTTTTTTCTGTTTTAATTTAACCAAAAGGGAATATTATTTCTTCTTATACAAAATTCAGTTGGGAAGCTCTTTCCCATAATTGTTGGGAAACAATTATATCAGTATTATACCATTTTCAATATTGTATTCAAAAATAAGGTGGTCATAAAAGAATTTGAAGAATTCAAATGAAAGAGAGGCTATTGTTAGAAAGGAATATGAGGTTTCTGTTGTTAGGATTTTCTCAATATCTCAAAAGTGCTTTTTCAAAAGGCAACTGGACTTTGTTTTTCCTTGAAGATTTTTTCACTTCTCATCCAAGGTTTTCTCAATAGTGCTATTTCTTCCATAATAGGAAGAACTTTGTTAATCTTGACCGAAGATCTATGCAAAGAAAGGCCTTTGATCACACTTAGTTTTGACAATGGATAATAAATGAGTCATTATTCTGCTTTGGTGGCTGATGCTAGTTCAAATATATCCAGTTTGTTCTGGATATGGCTTTTAGTTCAAAATCTTAATTTCTTTCTTTGTTAGATTTTTTTAAAGACATCCTTTGTAAATGACCAGGATATAGATCTTTCAAAAATAAAGCACTTATGCATTTACAATCTTGCAAAGGACACAATTTAAGCAGCAGTAAAATGGAATTTTTCAATAAAGACACAGTGTCTTCCTCACTGAAAATATTGTATAATATGAAAAATAACAGGCATAATGCCAGCCACCTCCCAGTATAGACTTATAAATAATTGATGCATCAGTGAGGGTGTTCAGGAATAGATCAAGGAGTGCTTAGCAACCAAAAGAATAGTTTAAATTTGGTGTCTTCAAAGTGTTTCCAACTTTTCTTCAAGGTATTTCTGGAAAGAATGCTATCTTTAAATAGCACAGACATCACATATTTGTTGCAGGAGTTATTTCATATCAAGTATATGTAATATCCTGTTCAATGTTCTTCATTATTCCTAAGAATAGAGATTGGAGATCAGTAGTGAATTTGGNTCCTGCCCTCCATGCTAGCCTTTCCAGCTTGGTCAAAGGAAGAATAAAGGTAGACTGCAGTGTCAAATCTCCGATAATTTATGTGATCTCTCCTTGTCAATGCAAAACACAAAATTAGTCTAAACAACACTCACAGGGTGGGGCTGGATGATATCTCCACCTACTGGGAGAATGAATGGAATGTTAGGATATGGCATGTTTGTGCCTAAATCACAGCATCAGAACATAGTCATTTAATAGTCATATTTTAAATATTTTAATGCTTAAATACTTTATATTACTTTGATGTTGTAATCAGCCCAGAGTCACTTGACTGCGAAATGGGCAACATTTAAATTTAATGAATAAATAATAAATAAATCAGCCTGTCAGGAACCTAAACCTTGGCAGTGAAGAACTGAATAAAATTCTAATTTCCTTTCTATATGTGAGGGAAGAGATAGTAAGGTAAAAGGAATATGAAGACTTAGCAGCATTCGGAGTAAAGCAGAAGTTGTGAGAGTTTTAGGTAATGGAACAAGTGTGTATCTGTGATGTTACCAAATACAAGAGTAGCATCTTCCAAACATACATTTTTCAGAATTAAAAAATCATTTCCTTAGACTTTCTGTCAAAATCCTGGTTATCTTGTATTTGAATGGTTGTGCAATTGCCTTTTGTTCTGTTTCAGCCAGAAAAAATATTTTATGTTGCAACGGATGGAAGTTTGGTAGATGAATTACAAAATAGGTAATTACTTTAATTAATAACATTTATAAAGTTGAGGGACTCTGCCAAACTATATATTATTTTTTATCATTTAAAAAAAATGTTTTGGAACCAATTGCTATTGGGTTGGATATCCGTTATTATTCTTTAGGAAAAGTGTCAAATTATGTATTTATTCTTGCAAATAGTGTCAACCATAGTGACTCTCTTTCATTATTTATATATTAAAAAAAAATCTTAGAATCATCCAAAACAGCCTCTAATATAATAATGATCTGGGAGATTTTTATGCTGCTAATGCACCAAATTATGTAATGGATGTTTTAATCGAATACACAACCATTTTGCAATTTTAGGCAATCTCAAAAATGTTAAAAATAATCAAATTTAAAAATGTAAAAACATGATTAAAACATATGAAGAACGGTTGCAGGAACTGGGTATGTCTAGTTTAATGAAGAGAAGGACTAGGGGAGACATGATAGCAGCCTTCCAATATCTCAGGGGTTGCCCCAAAGAAGAGGGAGTCAAACTATTCTCCAAGGCACCTGAGGGCAGGACAAGATGCAATGGGTGGAAACTAATCAAGGAGAGAAGCAACTTAGAACTGAGGAGAAATTTCCTGACAGTTAGAACAATTAATCAGTGGAACAGAAGTTGCCTCCAGAAGTTGTGAATGCCCCAACACTGGAAGTCTTTAAGAAGATGTTGGATAGCCATTTGTCTGAAACGGTACAGGGTTTCCTGCCTAGGCAGGGGGTTGGACTAGAGGACCTCCAAGGTCCCTTCCAACTCTGCTATTGTATCGTATATGTTTGAGTCCATTAGAGTTCATAGATGATAGATATTTTAAAATCCATTATACTCTGCATCTCATGTTTTCAATTCATTTGCCAATACTGCTCAGGTGGGTCTAACCCTGGCAACTTTAAAACCTGAGGACATCAACTCCCAGGATTTACCTGGCTAAAGAACTCTGGGAATTGAAGTCCACAGTCTTAAAGTTTCCAAGGTTGGACATTCCTGCAGTGTTTTCTGATTCTGTTTATCATGTGGGAACATTTATGCTTGTTACAGAGTTAAGAGGAAGATGGACAGCCATCATGCTGCTACAAAAGTTTTTTTTTAAGTAAGATGATCTACTGTATAAAGTAATGTCTATCGCTGATCTTTGACCGTAATAAAGATATATACTACTAACGTAAGATGATCTTCCTCCCATTGCAAATTCCAAAAGGAATCCATACTCTTTTTAGATTGTACTTTCTATCCCCAACTTTCCTCAAGCTTCATGAACAAGATGGTTAACAAAAAAGTGAAGGCACTTAAAAGTAATAATCAGTGTTTAAAGGCACTTAGCTTTAAGTCTACTTCTCTGAAATTGTGAAGTCTATGTCTCATCAAGCAGAACTATTGTACATGCATGTTTTATTGCATTACAGTTGCTTACCATCTCCCAATACTGGTTTCTTTCTGCTTTCTATCTGCTGGTCATAAAAAAACTTAGAATAAGTTTAATTTTCACCCTTTTGTTTTTATTAATTGCAGCAGTTAACAGTGCTATTTGAGAAACAATGCATACAGTATTAGCAACATTTCCTTTTCAGTATTTTTTTTTTCACCATTCAGTGTGTTTCACTATCCCAGTTTGTTCTGTAGCTGTTCTAGCTCTATAATTTTTCTTAACAAAATTAACATCCTTCCCAAATTGTATACTGTGTTCAAAACATGATTACATCAGGAAATGGACACAAAGTAATTTAAAAGTTTCATGATCATAAAGACTCTTCACACAAAACAGTATTTGAGTTTTTTTTTTTAACTAGTGGGTAAATTAACAGTATAGTAACTATAATGATGATAAACATTCTCTTGGTTGTTTTTTTTTTTTTTGAAAAACAGAATTGAAAAAACATTAAAAAATAAAATAATGGAATGGCGATCTCATCTTCCAACTCGATGGCATCGACAGTGTACTAGTGTTTTAAGACAAATTCTTCCTAAGCTTGAGCTTAGAAATGGACATATAACCAAAGAAAAAGAAGAAAGTTATTTGGAGGCTTTTCAAGAGCATTATTGGGTTAGTGTTTTGTTACTGTTACTGAACTACTCATTTGGGGAGAGGGCATCTGCCGAACAACGTTTCATAAGATATGAAGGGCTACCCTTGGAAAAAAAATATTGTTTGCTTTATACACATGGAAGCACATTTTGCTTGCACAATATAAGTAGAATTTGGATCCTGGTTGTTAGTGGTCAGTCATTAACAAAAATTGATTACTAACTGAGCTCCGAGATTCTTAGTTGGGATAATGAGGCCAAAGAAACAGAAGATGTGAGAGGTAAAACCAGATACCAAATTACTATATAAGATAAACCAGAACAGTGAGACAAGAATAAGACAGAGCCATAAAAATATATAATTATCCATATGAAGTCCTTGGGTAGGTGCCTTCATAACTTTTTTTATTGAGAAAGCTTGAGGAAGGATAAGCTTCAGGCTATTCCTTAGAGTATTTTGTTACCCAAAGAGTAGCAATATGAACACTGGTTAATCACTTCAAGGCATGGCACAACTTAACACAAAAGTATGGTTCCTGTGTTTGACAGTATTCTCTATCTATCCCTGTATGAATAGTAGTGGTAGAAAGCATGAACTTACAGACTTACAATAGATATGCTGGTTTAATTCTAAGCAATTTTCGAATTTACCCCCCCTTCCAGGCCATTAGAATAATAATTTAATGTAGATGATTGTCACTATCTGTTCTTTTCTTCTATCATCAACTCCCTTCACTATTTTCTTTGTCCCTGGTGAATTTGCCCTGGGTATGATATCAACCCTTTTAGAAAAACATGGCATAAAATTATTCTTATCCAATGGTTTCATATATGAAAGAGGAACACTTAGCTGGAAATTTGTCTAGGCTGCTAGTGTTTGATAAAAGAGTCATGAAAAAAATAATTTGTTCCACTCTAGTTTTGTAAGAAGCTACTCTCTTTTCAACTATGTCTTAGTTATTTAATATTATTTCAGGTGATGCCAGTTGTCTCAAGTTCAGCTGCTTGAAAACAACTGTTACTTTCCACAGTCTTTCAATCATAAAAGGTTGATATGGCAGAATCCTTATTAAACCATCTCACTATCCCAGTAACGTAAAGGGAAACCAATTATCATTTCTTTGTTCCTTGAAACACTTGTAAAGGAAGACATTTCCCCAAAAGAGGGAACAGTATCATTTTGTATTAATAACTAGATTCCTCTTGCTCCATAGGAAGTAGGATCCCTTTTCATTCTATTTACATCATAATCAGCTCTTGAGTCTAATAAACTGATATCTCCTTCATCCAATTAGTTATACTAGACAAACAAAAGTTAACGCAATTACCGTATGCTTCTGAGATAGTGAGTTTATCCAACGATTAGCCAGTAATTTCTCCAATCTTTTCTCAGCCCTGTTCTCTTTAGGAGTCATCCCACTGCCTTGTTAGGACATTGATATCATTGCCAGCCTCCTATTGCAGTGGTTCCCAGAACTCTGCTGGCTGGAGAATTCTGGGAGTTGAAGTCCACAAGTCTTAAAGTTGCCAAGTTTGGGAACCACTGTCCTATTGCATCCAACTACCTTATTGGGGGAGACAGGTGCTATGATGATTAGTCTCAGAGGCCTTCTTGCTCCATGGATATAAAATTTTATTACTCCTTGCAAAAAAGTATAAACACTGTGAAATAACATGACGTACATATATGATCAGTATCGTAGCTTATAGCATTTTTCCCATGAGGTTCAACTACAAACATTCTACTTTCATATATCTTCTGTGACACTAAATAGTCTCTGCCATGATATCAAGAATTTCAGATTCATCTGCAGTTTCAGAGTGTGAGTTGTACAATAAATGCTATTATTTAGTTCTAGTAGCAATGTGTCCGTTCGTTTCATTAATGTCGGTTCCAACACCACTAATGTCAAATTGGTCATTCAATTTCAATGTTCCTCCCTGTATCTTCTTTGGCAATCTCTAGCCTTATCTACCCTGCATTCTGAAGTCTCCAAACCTCTGAAGAAGCATGTACTCAAACCAAGTCTGTTCTACATAAATTATACTCTGAGTATTTCCTTGTGAGAAAACAGAGGGTTAAGGCCAATATTGCATTTTAAGGCATTAGCGTTAGGGATTTTAATGAAAGGATTTTCCGTATGTTTTACTCACCGTCAATACTTCCTTGACTATAGTAGAGAGCTATTTAGACCAGTCATTTCAGCATGGATGCATTTAGTCTTTTCCTATTCCTATCCATCATATCTAGTTAGAACCATTTGCAATGTTAAACATTGTGAGTTCCCTCAATTACTCTGTTCAGCACAAAGTGCTATTTGCAAATAGTTGTCTTAAAGCTGCTTTTTCAAAAGGCAACTGGGCTGTTTTTTTTCCCCTTGAGGAAGAATAAAATGTTTTGCTTCTCATCCAAGAAGCTTCATCAATTCTGATGGGGAGGGGGTATCAGAATTGATGAAAATTCTTGGATGAGAAGCAAAATGTTTTTTTTTTTCTTCAAGGAAAAAACAGTCTCATTGCCTTTTGAAAAAAATACCCCTGAGACCACAGACTGAGAATCTCTACAGATATTTGCAAATAGCTTCTGAGTATTTTTTTTAATATATTGATCAAATGATAGCACATCACACACATCTTATTATCTAGTCCTAGAATTAGTGCTTGCACCCACTATCTCTAAATGCCTATGGGCATCTGTTTCTCAGACCCAGGTGTGGTGATTGCTCCCGGCAATTCAATCATGAACGTAAGCCCCATAGTTGCTCATAATCTTCCCAAAATGGAATAACACTATCAAACTATTTGATGAAAAAAATAGAAACATTGCAAATGAAGTTGAATTTGGGAAGCCTAAGAGGATCTGTTTCTTCTACTCTGGATCACTTGCTTCTCAGGAATTTTCTGCTCACCTATTCAGCGTATTTGCCCTGAATATTTTTCCATGCCTTCTAATCATCCCATAATGCAGATAACTTTGGTTCTTGGTCATTGTTTGGGTTCCCAACTCTTGCGCCAGGACTCATCCTTGTCCCATCATCATCTTCTGTTTCATTGACTGATTCCTACTTTTGGAATCAGGAATTAAAAGATATCCTGAAACCAGCAGAAAAACAATCGACTTGCCAACTCCTGCAAAGCCAATGTACTTACTCCAGATTTATTTCCAGCTGGGGTTGTACTTGATTATTTGAACCCTTCAAACAATCTTTTGCGTGTAGTAATATATCTTATATATAAGATATATAAGATACAATGTATTTTTTTAATACATTGTTCTTTTACAACTTTTGAACAAGACAGACAAATTAAAATATTTTAAACAAGATATACAAGTTAAACACTCGTGTTATTTCATGGAACCAAAGAAAGACAGTGAATGATGTCCTGTCCTCAATCTCTAGAACTTTTGATGACTTTATACTTTCCTGTAATTTTTGGACCAGTCTGCTACATCTTTCATCCCTTTCTAATTCTTACATGATTTATAGCCAAAGTTCATTAAGTCCTTTCAGATCTCATTCTTATAACCCGCTAATATCCAGGATAGATATGATTCCCAGCTTCTATAAGCTTACTTTCAAGCATTATTGGAAGGTTCTGACATTACCAGGCCTCATCAAAGAGACAAGATGCTTTCACCAGTTCTTTGATTTCTTTCAAATATGGAGTTAAAAAGGATCCCAGACAGCTGGTGACAGGTGTAGTGGAGGGTTCTGTGAGCCCTCTTTTTTCCTCTTCACCCTGCATTCATCGAGTGTTGAGCTTTTTTATGTAACTATTTAGATTTGATGCTGTTTAAACATGTATTTAAAATTCTTTTTTTTTGGTAGGTTACAGGATTTCCTTTACAGATGCCATACCTAGATATCCCATCAATAACTGAGGCGGTTTATCAGACAGGAATTCATTCTTCAGAAATTCCCTATACAGAATTTGCTCTTGCTGTGTATGTTCATCCTTATCCAAATAAGATTTTATCTGTTTGGATCTACTTAGTATCTTTGGTTTGTCATCAGTAAGTAGCAGTAACTGACAAACCTCTTCAGGAATTACTCAGTGCATCTGTGAAATTGGTATTTGTGGTTTTTGAATTGTTTTGTTGTAGATAAGAAACTAGTCAAAAACATTGGTGTTTTTTTTAAAAAAAACCTATTTGCTGTTTGATTCTTTCATTCTTCTAAAGTAATACATTTATTTTATTTTTGCTTCTGTGAAAAAATAAATCTACTAAAATTTATCTGGAGTTTAAACATCTAAAAGTTTTATGTCTTTTTGTAAATCATTCATGTAGTGATTTGGGGAACAGTGTATAAAAATTTGCCATTACTGTATTCTAGAATAATTCTTCAATTCCCATTCTATAGCCTTGAATTTCCCCCTGGCCTTCACCCAACTATTCACTGGGCCCAACTCTGCTTAACGTCTGGATCCAAACAAACTTGGGACCCATTTCATTATAGGAGAGTACAAATGCCTTCACAAACTTTCAGTCATCTGGCTGCTCCCTTGTTATACAATTCTGGGCAACAAAGAACAAGTTCAAAAATAATAACACACAAACTATAAAACTGTAAAACCTGAAAAACATCACATCTGTGGCCACACGTATCCACGTAGATAATCTCCTATATATGGGCTCAGCCAGCACACCATGGGCAAACTATACAGTCCCACCATGGGCAAACTATGGGTAATCTGAGTTTAGTTTTATAATGCAATTTGATTTGTTTTCCCAAATTATAATATTATACAGTTAAGGCCCAAGATGTAATGTTAAAACCTTTGAACTAAAAATATAAACGAAGTTTTTGAACACTTCCTCTGAGTAGCACTAAGGAAGTGAACGCTCAGAATTTACACACAATATATTCAAACCAGGTAACCCCCTGAATGCTGAACATTACTGATACAGGCAAGAGCCACTAGCTTGAGATAGGCGATTTAGAAATTAGAAAGGTATTTCTGTTTAGATGTCTGCACGTATGTTTTTATAATACTATTGCAGTGTTATATTTAATGCCAAGGAATTTTGAAATATAAAAATTAGTTAACTAATCATCATTCATTTTTCATTGTAGGAAAAAGCAGCTAGCAATCATTTTCAATAGGATTCAGTAATCTACATTTCTGAATCCTTCCCAAAGCGTTTATAAATGATATAAAAATTTACGAATCACTATAACTTTTGCATCAACCAACAATATTTTGATTACGGTTTCTTAAGAATCTTAAGAATGCTTCGTGATGCTGCTTGGACCATCCATTCAAAGCATGATTTATTTCTTAGTGTTAAATGTGTCAGGATTGATTTTGCTGTTATAATCGAGAATTTTTCTGTCTGATCCAGAAAATTCTCTTAGATCTAATTCTACATATGTGCCTGGCCACTGCAAAAAAAAAATTGCCTTTTTTTGGGTAAAGGGCATCTTGGCACTGCTAAGCAGCATAATTGCAATTATTGTAATGAACTGTAATTCATAAAAAGAAAAAAAAAGTGTAACGAACTCAGATATGGCCATCTAGTAGCATGTAGTACCAAGAAGTTCAGTTCACATAAATGGGGCATTTAATATAAGGCTAGAAGATACCTTGGAAGTCTTCTAATCAATCCCCCGCCCAATTGGGATATTTTAAAAATACAATTTATGTAGTTTTTAAACAGAGTGGTACAGTGCCCTAGAGGTGGAGCTCTTGCCTCACAATCAGGAGTTTGTGAGTTTGATCCTATGTGGAGGCAGATTTTTTTCTTTCTGGGCACAATGAGAATATATCTACTGAAAAAAAATTCTGCATTGGCAACAGGAAGGGCATCCAGCCATTAAACACTCTGCTAGCTACATTCAGTTGCCCAGACTCCATCCTGCAAGGGATTATGGGTTCATGAAAAGATGATTTATGTAGTTTTTAAACCAGTATACCTAAATGGAGGCTGCTAAATAGAGTGTATTAACTGTAAAATGTTAGCACTCTCCTTTGATTGGCTGGCCAATAATAGTTGATGGTTAAAATATCTTCCTTGTATTTAGATTTTTAATCCCAAATGATCCAATGCCAACATTACTGAACATACTTCTCAGAGCTAAACAAATCCTTTGAAAGTGGTGCCTTGAACATTGCTGGAGCATAGATGAAGCACATAATTTTCATACCCGAATGATTTCTTTTCAGATATGTCCTATTAGGTGCTTGCATTTATCTATAGATTTAATTAGAATTAAATTGAATTCTAAGGTAGAATGCACCAACTACGGAACTGATTTTTGAAGATGAGGCGTCATATTGCTTTCTGTTGTGTAGTGTTATCTGTGCACAACGCGATATGGACTTTGCTCAAAAAGAGGGATGGGTTTTCTGTGACTTCTTGCATGTAACTCTGCAAATAGTATTGCCTGATATAATTAAAATAAACCATTTTTCCATATTCCAGCAGAATGTATACATGGATTCAGCATTGTTCACAGTAGTAATCATTTTCCATTCTTTCTTTCTGTTGTCTTTCCCAGACAAGGTTAGTAATGAAGTAAGAAAGTTCAGATTTTTAATAAATACTTAAAAAATACTTTTCCTGTTTTCTTTCATGCCTGTTGTGTTAGTCAAAAATAAACTTGGAATGCATTACAGTATCACTCTCATTATGAATGTAACTTTATTCAAAGCACACACACAAGTTACGCAAAACTAACTTTATTCTTTAAAAGAGTGCATGGCACTCGTTTTTTCCCCAATGTGTAGTTCTTTCTTGACGACACACATTTTAATTCCTGCAGTAGCAATTTTCAGCCGTGTGTCGATTCAGTGGAGGTGAGTCAAATACGTATAAGAAAATAGGAAATGTCGCACAGTGCATATTCTATTGCCAATATTAATCTATAACAACAAACTCAAAAGGCTAAATAATAAATTAAAAAAGTAGTGAGCCACAAATCTAGAAACTTATAGAGGATCATTTTTTTTTTAAGCAAGAAGTCTAATTACTTAAATATCTTAAATAAGATCATTTGTTTTAGGTGAGTTTTGCTGGTTTGACTAGACAAATTAACTCTCCCACCGCAATTCCAGTGTTAATTATTAACTAATGTTTTGAGTGTAAAGGGCCTGAAAGATAATTTTCAGATGTCTGCTCTGCTGTCTCATTTATGGAGGACTGACATCGAAGGACGCATAAGAATTTTTAGGAACAATGTGCTTGTTATTTCAAGTCATGGGTCTCCACAAAATTGTACATTCAACATAGTATTGAGGTAGTTTAAAAGTATGGAGAGTTGTATGAGCAGTATTGCAATTTGAGATCAGTATCATTCCTTTTCTGATGTATTTTGCAGTCCTTCATCCCCACATAAAGTGAAATTGTGAGAAATGACCTCATGTA